GAGTACTGTCTGTGATACTTTTTTTATTTGTACTAACATACAATTTTGAGGACAAGCTTTCGGGGTATGTCCCCTTCTTCAAACTTTGTGATTTGTAATAGTACTGCTTGGACTTTGAAGAAGGGGACATACCCCGAAAGCTTGTCCTCAAAATTGTATGTTAGTACAAATAAAAAAAGTATCACGGACAGTACTCAATTGTTTCTGGATAGAGCCACAAAGTAAACAGTGTGATGCACCACTGTCCTCCTACAGCATGGGCTGCAGGGCTGAATGGGCACTAAGGGTTTTTTTTTATCGCTACTGTTAAAGAAAAAATTCATCCAAAGGGGTAAGTTCAGTATTTCAACCTCTTCCACCCCTCCTTTCCCATTTTTGGAAACTTTTGGTTTTTTGGAGGGCAGCGATCTGAGCAGGTTCACCCCCCCCCCACCCTCTTTGCCCGCAGCCTTATGGGCTAAGTCACAGGTCCAAGAAGACTGCAAAATCATTCACAGTGTGCAGACGGGTTTAACAGCTGGTTTCCCCTTCGTTCTAGGAACCTGAAGACCAGTGAACAACTAGCCTAGGAGATCGTTGGATCTCTGGACAGGTAAATGTCCTTTTATTAAAAGTCAGTGGCTACAGCATTTGTAGCTGCTGACTTTTAACTTTTTGGGGGGAGACTGAAGCTTCTCCTTAAATAAAACAGCATATTTTCACCCATGGCAAGTTAACAGACCACATATAGATACTATATTATTCTCATATGTTATCTATGATAAAACTGTACTAAACAGAAGACTGAAATAAGTAAATAAATTAGTGATCTCATTTGGCTATATAAAAAAATATAAATGCTTCTGTGCTTGCTATATTTTTGCCCTCTAATTAACTATGGTGCTTGATAAACTGATTAATTAAATAAACTAAATGCATTACGCTTCGAAACAACAACTTTCTTGCTGTAAAGATTTGCTTACAGATATGGTTTTGAAATAGAAGGCTTGAAAACGATACTAATCAACCAAATAAATAATTAATGTGATTTAATATGGCATTCTTAATTAAGAGAGACTAAAATAGTTTACATTTCTCAGCACACATAATAAAAACACAGGAGAATAACAAATATACTCAGAATTAATGTTTTGGATGTGGCACTGATTTTATTTTTCTTTTCATCAATTCAGTTATGCCCATTAAAATATTAGCTGCAATTATGAGATTGCGGGGCCAGAAATGTTTACTGATTCTAAATATGGTATCATATTAATATGTTATCGCAAGGCCAAAATCTACAGCATGTTTCATTTTTCATAAACTAATCATTGGAGCCTCCCATCACAGTAACAGACCAACATTGAGACACATGCGATGAGGGAAGCAGGCTGAGCTTGAAGAGAAGCTCACAGTGTGCAGTGAAATCAGAAAAATATTTCAGTAAAGGAGAGGAGCCTGTTCAACTTTGCAAGACTGAAGATCAGACCAGAGTTCAGCTTTAAAGCCCTGTTCCAGCATTTTTTTTTTATCATTTTGTGAAGATCCTCTGCCAGGTATTATTTTCTGTCTTCTGGGGTTGATCCTTACCTACCAATTATAGAGTGTCACACGGACAGCAACAAATGGACTACTCTATATCTCTCATGTGGACACAGACATCAACAAAAGTACATTTATTTAGTAGAGTGGAGAAAAGCTGTTTCATATGTCAAGTTTTTATTTCTCTCTGTGTTTTCCTGAGTAGACACCAAAAGATGCCTTTTGTGACGCTTGCTAGCCAGAAAAGTCTCTGTGCTTCCATCTGATCCTAGCTACTTAAGGCTTGACTTCAAGGCTACGATCCACCCATCTACCATCCTCTTGTTCAGTGGAAGCTAGTGTTAAATAAAGGATTCATATTCAAAAGGAATTTTGGGTAGGAGTGATAAAGGGTTAGAAGATAGCACAAAAAGATTGTTCTAACGCTCTATCACTATGAGCAAGGACTTCCAAAAATGTGATATAAATTACTTATTTAAAGTTGTGTGAGCACCCAAACTTGTTTACTTTGGGCAACCTCAATTATTAAATTATATCTAAAGGCAAAACATTTTATTTAGTTTTTTGACAGACTAGATAAATGTTAAAACCTCAGAATTTTTTTTTCTGGGCTGTGTTCCATTGGGGAGGTTTTTCTTCATTTCCTTTCTCAAGACACCCGGGAAGTGTGAATAGATTTCTCTAAAATCCTCTTTTAGGGCCTATTCACAGCTATGCATTAGTCTTCTTGATACAGTTTCCATTTAAATCAATGGAAAAGCATCACAAGCTTGTCAGGGTTTTAATGTGTTTTCATCTGTTTTTAACACACATAAATGCACGTTGATGTGTGTAGTAATGAGTCATGATAGAGAGATTGAGAGATTTACTAAAACGTGTGTACACAAAAACTGGTGCAGCTGTACATAGTAACCAATCAGTTACAGATTTTATTTGCAAGGCTTAATTGAACAAGCTGAAGTTAGAAGCTAATTGGTTACTATGCACAGCTGCACCAGATTCTGTGTGCATCAGTATTAGTAAATCTCCCCCTTTGGCTTGCATCGACCTGCATCTTAATATGTACATTGGCATGCCATTAATTTCAATGGAAAATGCATAAGAGTGAATAGGCCCGTGGAATACGGAGTGTGGCAACAAAGTACTGTAGTTAGAGCCAGAAGAAATGTTATCCTATGGTGTCACAACCCTTTTCATTTGTATGCCATCTGCAGAAGCTGTTGAGACTGTAAGGAAATATCTGAAACAAAAGAAGACAGTTGATCAGAACTTAAGCCAGACCAAGTATGTTCCTTGCTCAACATTTGTGTCAAAACACCTATTTCAAGTACAGAGGTACTAAGGATCACCTGTATTGTTCATTGTTGCTATCCTGTACATGAAGGAGATGGAAAAGAGAGAGCCTTAAACTCTTTCAGGGTTATAACACTAAGTCATTGGTTCAAGCATATGGATGATATGTGAAGAGTTATTGAGTAACCCAACAATACATTTAGTGAAAACTTAAACTCAGTGGACAAAAACATTGAGTTTACATGGGAAGAGGTACAGAAGAACAAATTACCATGTGTGGACTGTGTGTTACACATCAGGGAGTAGGGTGACCTTGACATTGACATCTACAGGAAGTCTACGCACACAGACCAGTATCTACTTTTTGACTCTCACCACCCATTGGAACACAAACCAATGGTTAATAATACCCTGCAACATTGAGTTGAGATGATAACAACAAACAGAGTCAAAGGACAAAGAACACCATATATGTATAAGCAAAAACATGGGGCCATCAAATAGAGGACAGAAACAGAACACGCGGTATAATTTGTATGGAGTAATATGTCATCCCATGTGTAGCCAGACTATCGTTTCAAGGGATACACTGAGACAGAAGCTGGTACATCCAAGAGACGCAACATCCAAACACAAGTGAAGTAACCTGATGTATGCAGTATAGTGAGGAATGCACTGTGGGAAGACAAAACAACTTCTCAACAAATGAATGGCCCAACATAGAACAATACATTCTACAGTTCACGATTCAGCAGTTTTTCTGCACCAAAAGGGAAATTCATAATTGCAGCCATGTGAATGAAAGAAATTACTCCTGTGCAGACTTTGGGACACCAAGAGTGGGATTATATAACTAGAATAACTTTCACAATGCCAATCCTGTTCTTGGATAATCAACATATACGCATTCCATGGTGAATGGATTAATATGGCCATTTACTGCCTTTGTGGATATTTTCCTGACACTCAGAAATGAAGAAGTGACTTGGATAAGCTACAAAACATCTTCAATATTACAAGACAGGTCCAGCTGGACGTGGCTACTACTAGCTAGGCCTTTAGACAGTTGTCACCAGAACAAGTGTCCCCATAGGAAGATGTCTATTCTGTTCTTAACCCAGTGACAACTCATAATTTTAGATTTTCCTTTACTTTCAGTTGCAGTGACAGCTGCCTTCAGGAATGATAGAGAGACTGAAATAAAAACCTAACAGTGTTTATCCTATCATCCACACTCTATACAAAATGAAAAAATAAAATACTGGCTTTAGAAAAAGGTTAGTGAATCTTTTTCTATTTTCATAAAAAAAACTCCTTTCAGTCTAAGACAAGCCTAACATTTATGCTAATTGCAACTTCAGCTTCACTGCTTACAAGCTTCACATGACTTTTCAGAATTTCAGAAAGAAGAATTGCTCGCTGTTGGATTGTGTTGTGTAACAAGTTTTGAACCTGCCGTGCTAATGATTGACTCTTTCTGTTTTGTTGCTGTACAATTTACAGAAGAGCTTTCTAATCAGATTTCTGCACATGATAATTAAGATGTACATCTGGCATTGAAATATTCAAGATGCTTGAGCTGGCCACATGCTTTCCTCCTAGGATGAGACAAAAACAAATGGCAAATTCTATTAAATTACCCTATTACTACCAAACTGAATCTGCGCCTGTATCCAGTTATTCCACATTATGGTGCACATAGTTCCTAATTATGCTTCACTACTCATTATCTTTTGTTGTTATTCAAAGTTAAAGCAAGCCAGACACAACACTATGCACTCTGAAACAGCAGCCCTCTAAAATAAATATGTATACTTTCACCAACTTAAAGAGGGCTATTTCCTTTGAGAGTAAAAGAACCAACTATATAATTACATTAACAACTATACAGGTATTTGTGGCTAATATTTCCTTAAAGCCAAACTCCAACTATATAAAAAAAATTGGTGGATAGGAAAAAGCAGCCCAGGACAAAAAGGACCTGCCCTCAATAGGGTGCATCATGAAGTTGTCCTGCACTCACAGGATAATGCTGCATAGAGCAGGCCTATGTCTTTATATTGCAATGCTATCTGTGGCATTTACACAACACATGATCGGGCCAAAGACATTTAGAAATTAAAACGTGGATTTGGGTGTTCCAATCACCTCCATGGCCACAGGTGTATACAATCAAGCACCTAGGCATGCAGACTGCTTCTACAAACATTTGTGAAAGAATGGGTCACTCTCAGGAACTCAGTGGATTCAAGCATGGTACCGTGATAGGTTGCCACCTGTGCAATAAGTCCATCAATGAAATTTCCTTGTTACTAAATATTCCACCGTCAACTGTTAGTGGTGTTATAACAAAGTGGAAGCAACTGGGAACAACAGCAACTCAGCCACAAAGTAGTAGGCCACATAAAATGACAGAGCGTGGTCAGCGCATGCTGAAGCGTACAATGTGCAGAAGTTGCCAACTGTCTGCAGAGTCAATAGCTAAAGACCTCCAAACTTCTTGTGGTCTTCAGATTAGCACAACAACAGTGCATAGAGAGCTTCATGGAATGGGTTTCCATGGCCGAGCAGCTACATCCAACCCTTACATCACCAAGTGCAATGCGCAAAGCGTTGGATGCAGTGGTGTAAAGCACACTGCCTCTGGACTCTACAGCAGTGGAGACGTGTTCTCTGGAGTGAGGAATCATTTTATTTATTTCAGGTACTTGTATAGCATCGTCAATTTTTAAGCAGCGCTTTACATACATGTATTGTACATTAACATCAGTCCCTAACCCTCAACGGGTGTACAATCTAAGGTCCCTAACTCACATTCTTACATACACATACTAGGACCAATTTGGACAGGAGCCAGTTAACCTACCAGCATGTCTTTGGAGTGTGGGAGGAAACTGGAGCACCTGAAGGAAACCCACACAAGCACAGGGAGAACATGCAGGCAGGTGGTTTTGTGGTTGGGATTTCAACCAGTGACCCTAGTACTGCAAGGCAGAAGTGCTAACCATTAAGCCACTGTGCTGCCCGCATTCCCATAGACATACTCCAAAACCTTGTGGCCAGCCTTCCCAGAAGCATTGAAGCTGTTATAGCTGCAAAGGGTGGGCCAACTCAATATTGATCTCTACGGACTAAGACTGGGATGCCATTAAAGTTCATGTGCGTGTAAAGGCAGGTATTACAATAATTTTGGCAATAGTGTGTGTGTGTATATGTATGTGTGTGTGTGTGTGTATATATATATATATATATATATATATATATATATATATATACACACAGTGAACAAAATATGTATTTGATCCCGTGCTGATTTTGAATGTTTGCCCACTCACAAAGAATTGATCAGTCTAAAAATCGAATGGTAGGTGTATTGTAACACTGAGAGGCAGAATAGCAACAAAAAATTCAAAAGAAATGCAAATTCACAACAAATTATGCAGGCAGGGGGTTGGGATCTGCTGTCACACACTGTACAGCATAGAGCTGAGTGTAATCTGAGACCTAAGTCAAGGGAGTGGACAACCTGCACAGTCTAATAAGGAAATCATGCACAGTTGAGGCTGTCATTTATCTGCTGTGTGCTGGAGGGAGTTGGAGCTGTCTCTGTCTATCTGGTGTCAGCGTAGACTGTCAGAAGTGACTCATGTAGATAGCAGAGAAATGATAGAACAGACAGAAATCATACTAGGTGCTTTTGGATAGAGACAAGTATACCCTATAGAAGGATATACTTTGTCCATTTTGCATTTCTGAGGTTTACAACCACTTTAAGACTTATAAATAAAAACACATAATATTAGGAGGTTGTGTTCCATCCCTGGTCAGGTATAAAATGTGTGCACATTTTAAGGCTAACCTTCCCGTTCCCCAAGCATCTTTGCCGGAAGATTGGTCAAAGAAGTGGAAACTGCAGATCAATGTTTCTAAATGTAAAATAATGCACCTAGGGAAAAAGAATCCCTTGAGAGTTTACAACATTGGCATAACCGTGTTGGCCAGCTCTAAAGATGAAAGAGATTTGGGGTACTTCTTTCAGATGATTGCAAAATGGGCAAACAGTGAGGGTTATTTATTAAAGCTGGAGAGTGCAAGATCAGGTTCACTTCTGCATATAAACCAATCAGCTTCTAACCTCAGCTTGTTCAATTAAGCTTTGGCAATAAAACCTGGAAGCTGATTGTTTTCTATCCAGAGGTGGCAGTAAAACCTGGAAGCTGACTGGTTTCTACGCAGAAGTGAGCCTGATTTTTCACTCCCCAGCTTTAGTAAATAAACTCCAGTGTGACAGGCAGTGGGGAAAGCGAATAGAATTCTAGGATGCCCTCACTTACAAAAAGATATTGATAAGACAATGAGTCCGAGGCAGGTAACAAAAAGGTGAAAGGTCTGGAAGATAAAACATATCAGGAGAGACTTCAGGAACTTACTATGTACAGTCTGGAGGAAAGAAGGCAAAGGGGAGTCATGATTGAAACCTGTCAATGCATCAAGGGGGTGAATAAGGTTCAGGAGGGCAGTATTTTCAATATGAAACCAAAATCAAGAACATGGGGACATGACCTTAAACTAATGAGAGGAAAGTCCAAAACTAATCTTAGACAGTATTATTTTATTGAAATGGTAGTTGATGCTTGGAATAGACTTCCAGCAGAGATAGCAGAGTCAGTCAGCAGTAAATGGCTTTAGACATGCTTGGGATAAACATAGACCTAAGTTACAACAAAATACAAAAAAAAAAAAAATGTATGTATGTATATACTCGATGGACCACTAGGTCTTTTTTTCTGCTGTCACTTTTCTATCTTTCTATGTAAACATAGTGGTGCCTTCATATCTCGGTCTGTGAGTTATGCATTCCTTCTGTCCCCATAACAAGAAGCAACACCAGGCCAAACAGCAATGTTATTGATTTTAACATTTCAACTTTTTGTCAAAGGTCAACAAAAATCCCTCGTCTCCATCTCTAACCTCTTGGCTGCTGATGTATGCAGAGAGAGGTGACTCTCAGAGGAGGGTCAGAGGTGTATTTACATGTGGTTTGAGATTGACAACCTGGTTTCACCTTCTCTATGGTATTCGAGAGGCAAGATGGCAGCACACAATGGGAGAATAACTTGATTATTTGGGGACAGACTGCAGAAGAATCCGTGTTCATTTTATGTACCTGTGAATTATCTATAAGCTAAATATCTCATAGTTGGCAGTGGTTTCTGCAAACATTGGCAAAGAAAAGGGTTGCTTTGAAACTATACCAGACAACTAACAAAGACGCTAACAATCACAAATAATCATTTTGTGTGGACACAGGGACATCGGTAGTTTAATTGAAGTCATAATGGTGTCAAGTATTTTAGTAGACACATTTAGGTAGCCAAATCCACAAAACATGTGTATCACTTTCAGTGCCATTCTCTTTCTCATTGTACTGTAACCATTGGCGTAGTGTCAGGGGTTGCAGGGGTCGCACTTGCGACTCCCCCCATTGCTCCAGGGGACCCGGGGGCCATTTCAGGTCCAGTGCAGTGATGCTGCACTGAACCTGCGGCCGCTCTGTGTCACAGAAAGTCAGATAACTGCCACTCTGAAATACCCCAGGTAAACAGACTTTTTTCCCAGAAGCCTCCAATCAGCACTTTCTACTAAAGCTGTGCAGCCAATCAGGGCTTCTTTTGGAACTAATTAGCATTTCTATTGCTCTACCGTCATTGGTGTGTACTTCGGGACTGGGACAGGTCGGCAAGTTAGTTCACAATTTCAGGAATGTGAGCAGACAGAGACTCACAGCTTTCTTTTAAGAATGCAGGGAGCTCAAGTGCGCAGTGGAGTGGAGACAGTATAAGCTTTAACCCTTGCCAGGCTGAGGAGTAATTACTGCAATATCTAAGCAAATGATGTCTCATATTTTTTGTGGAGAGTGTGCAAAAGAAAGAAGGCAATGCGTAAGCGTAGAGGGAAAAGGGGCCAGTGTGTACCTGGAGGGGGAAAAGTGTGTGTGTGGGGGGTAATGTGTGTAGGGAGAGGGGTAAATGTGTACAAGGAGGGGGTAGTATGTACATGAGGGGTAATATGTACAGAAGCAGGAATTGTGTAAAAGGAGGAGGGCAATACGTACAGGAAGCGGCATTGTGTACAGGCAGGGGGTTAATATGTACAGGTGGGAGCACTGTGTACAGGGAGGGAGTTAATATGTACAGGAGGGAGTATTGTGTAAAAAGAGGGGGGTAGTATGTACAGGAGGTGACATTGTGTACCGGGAGGTGGTAATATGTGTAGGAAGGGGCATTGTGTACAAGGAGAAAGTAATATGTACAGGAGGGGGCATTGTGTACAAGGAGGGGCTAATATGTATAGGGAGGGGGTAATGTGTATAGGAGGGGGTATTGTGTAAAAGGAGGAGGTAATATTACAAGAGGGAGCATTGTCTACAAGGAAGGGGTAATATGTACAGGAGAGAGCAGTATGTGTACAGGAGGGGTAATATGTACAAATAGGGGGCAATATATGTGCAGAAAAGGGGGTAATTTGTACAGGGAGGGGGGGTAATATATTACAGGAGAGGCAGAGGTGTGTGCAGGAGGGGACAGTGTGTACATGTAGGGGGGCAATGTGTACAGGAGATGGAAGTGCAGTGAGGGGAGTAGGGGGTAATGTGCTCAGGAGGCAGCAATGCAAACAGGAAGACTTTTCTTTCATCGATCCATTGATCGACTTCAGTTCAAACAACCTGTCAGATTTTTTTTTACATATTATCACTGCCAGTGGCTATGGGCGCAAGCAGTTGTCATTGTGTTCCGCCAGCCAGGAAGGCTTCCCACCGACAGAACACAATAGCGCTGCAGGAGGGATTCCCCCATAAACACTTACTGTGTTGATGGGGAAATTGAGCAATTTTCTTTCCTTCCAAATGTGATGAAAGGAAAGAAAATTGCAGTCTAAAGGCTGCGTACCCATTTAGCCACCTGGAGTATTTTGGTGTTTGGGGGAAGCGGTGGGTGGTAGTGGGGGGCCCCAGGTCAACTTCTGCACCAGGGCTCGCAAGCTTTAGGCTATGTCTCTGACTGTAACTGCAGAGTACTGTGAGGACAAACCCCCAGGGGTGGGTCCATGACACTTTGCACTCACAGGAAGTAGGTTGAGTGATGTTGAAGGTCATTCAACCTGGAAGAGGAGCAGAGGTGGACCGCAGAGCATCTTAGCGAGATAGCCCTTGAAAGATGCAAGAAAGCTGTCTTTTTATTTTAGTTGGGCAACTTGTTAAAAACAAAAGTGTAATTGGACTTTAATGACAAATAATGCATTTTTCTGTAATTATACCAATCTTGTGTATCCTGAAATGTAAGGAATTTCTCCAAACTTGTAAAGCTACTTTTAAGCAGGTGCTTAAGAAGGTTTTGGCATGTTGTTGTGAGTGTTTTTTGTTCTTTTATTTTTATTCTCCCCTGTTGGTAGTCCTGAGAAACTAGGGTTAACTCTGCTGGCCAGGTTTTCCTGGGCTTTTTGGGAGAGTATCTGCAGGGGCAAACAGTTAAAGGGGAAATGCCTCTAGGACAAGGGTCTTCGA